TGTATGTGTATAACAGTATAAAAATATTGATGTCTAGCTATCTGCCAATATACATTTATGCAAGTGTACCTAAATAAACAATACAAATACCTTTAGTCATATTACTGGGGAAGGTAAATATATTTATAAGTATGTACTTTGTTATGACAAAGTTATGCTTTTAGAATGCATTTTACTTTTTATGCATTTTTTGCTCTTGTTTTAATTTCCCAAGTATAGCACTTGATTAGTCAAGCTATGGCTATATTCTAGATGCCATGCTGTTGTTTGTGGTTTGACAAGTCAGGATTTGAATATGTCTTTTAAATGTCACTTGGCTGCACTTATACTATCTTGGGATGTGAATGTTAAAAGTGTAATAAGTGTGTGATAAGTTGATGTGCCTGAACATTCTTTATATAGTACTGGCAGAAACCAAATGCTCTTGGGATCTCCCTGGCCAGCAGGTGGTGTTCTGATCCCACACCATACCTCTGCCAGATCTTTTATCGCATGTCTGATGCTCTGCTACAAGAGAAACCAAATACCACCGATCAGTGATTTATAATAGTGCTGTGTCATACTTATAAATAGTTTGCTACTGGACACTAAGGATTTTATTATTACAGGCTACCAGAAACTTAATAACTGAGCAAAATCAATAGGATGTGAAAGATTTTTTTTTTGTGAAACATTTTTATAAAAGATAAAAATAAGATTTTTTTTTTTTAGTTTGTGGCAAAATAGAGCATGTCCAACTATAATGGGTCACAAAATGCTTAAGTATTTCATGTAATGGAAAATCTGCAAGAAATAAAAGCAGAGTACAGTGTAAAATTAGGTTATATACTTTTTGTGGCTTATTAAAAAACGAATTGCAAAAATCTGAACCCTGGGTGAACCGCTAAATACACATATAAAGCACATACAGTATATGAGAGCATCAAAAGCTACTTCACAGATGCTGCCATTGGGCTCCATTTTAAATTTCCCACGACCGGTATCTTACCACAGTGATGGATAAGGAGAGATTGAGCACCCTTGTAATTTGAAAAGAGGAGTGCTGCATGAGCACACTCCATGTTCTCTTTCCCACCATTTAGCACCATCCACTACTGGAAGCACCTGCTACTCCTGTTCCTGACACAACAAATACATTTCCAGTCTCCAGTTTTGCTTCACTGCACATCTTCAGTGATTTGGTCACCTCCAGCTGCCAGAAACCCTTGTCATCATCAACTTCCCAGGTTTGTGAATACTTTAGTCCTTTCCTCAAATTGAGTCTTGTTTCTGACTGCAACACAATGAAACATGTCTTCTTAAGCCACACACACAGAATAGCCCTGCTGCTACAGGTGACCTCAACCCATAGTCCCCTAATGGCTCTGAGGGCATTTTCCGAGATGGAACTAAAGCTTGTAATCTGGAACTTGGGACCTTTATTGTTATAGTGTTTTCATTTGCGGAGTCTGTTTCATCTCCTTCAGGCAGGTCCAACATTTCATAGTAAGAATTAGAGGGTGAAAGAGTTCCCCCAAAGGATAGAAGTTTAAAAAAAAACCAACAGCGGTGTAAATAAAATCAATAGCTTTATTATGATTCACAAAAAAAAATTGGTAATAGACCTATTAGGCCAAAAGATCCTCTATTCACATGAATAAAATGGATAACATTATCACCTTAAAATGACCTGAGCCACACATACTATGAATATAGACATATTACTACTACCTTCTGTCTTAAATGAACATTAATTATGAGTCAATTAACCAGAGTCTCGCATAGTGGGATAGCCACTTTAAGCAAGCAGTGCAGGATCCAAGACTCTGGAAAATAAACTCTCCAACCAGGACATTGTCCACCATATATAGAAACCACATATGAATAATATGAAATGAGGCAGAGGGATTCACTCAATCAACCCAACATTAGTGTAGAGCTATAATGGCGAATCACATCCCATGAGGGATAACTTCCCTTTATAGCCACAGAAATTATTAAATTGTGCACATTAGAATAGGAGCTCGCAGTTGGATGTTGAATAATTGGAAGTTTGTTGGTCTGTTCAAGCTTATGAAGCTGCTCTATCATAAAATAATTGTTAAAACATTCCTTGGTCTGGTGTTTTTCAAAAATGGGTAATAGCCATCATAAAACTCTAGCAGAGCCTTTAACAGACTTCATTGCCTGTCATAATTACTTTAGCAGAGAAATTAAACTATTACACATTTCAGCCTGGTGTTTACCTGCCAAAACCCAAAATAATTTTATATTTCATAAATCCTAATATGTGTTCATAAAAGGTGACTACCCATATGTAAAACAACATAACAATCAGTTTGATATTATACGTGCCTGTGACTAATGACCAGAAAGATGAAGGAACAAATTACCCATTCCGAGGATGTCTTACATAGGATCAATTGAATCTTTGAAATTGTGATTTCATGTTGTGCAATAATTTGTTGGTTGTTAGGCTGTAAAATTCGGTCAGCTGAAAATATTGCTAGAATTAGAAAAGTGACATTAGAGGGAGTATCTGCTGAAATATCATAAACACTTGAGCACCCTTCTCTCCCACCCATCAGAAATCATGAAGGATTGGCTCAGTGATACCTTTAGAGCAGCTTGCCTCAATCTTTTTAACATGGAGAAACCGTTGAAATAATTTTTAAAAATGTTTTGCTAATAATCAAGAGCCCAAAAAGTGAGACTACCACCAGGGAGAGTTACCAGCAAGGCCATGGAGATATGAGCACTATTAGTGGTGAAAAGAAAAAAAGCACATCACAAGAAAATTGATTTAAAAGACTTTATAATTGTTTTTTATTTTTTCAGTTGGTTGAATTTGTTATTAGTGAAAGTGCTACACTATTTGATAGAATTAGATATTGCTTATTGCTCAAGGAATCCATAGTAACCTCTGGAGAAACCCTAACTGAGAAAAGCTGCATTAGTTAAAGAGGAGCTCCCCCGCCTCCCCCAAAAAAATAAAAAGTCAGCAGCTACAAATACTGTAGCTGATGACTTTTAATATAAAGACCCTTACCTGTCCAGGGATCCAGCTGTTTCCTCTCTCGAGCCGATTCTTCAATCAGCTTCGGGTGCAGGCATCGAAGGTAAGGGAAACCGGCAGTGAAGCCTTCTAGCTTAGAAACCTACTGTGCATGCGCTTGGTGCACTGCTCTTTGTGAATGATCCCACAGTCAGGTGGGACCTGTGATGTGTCTCAGAAGGCTGTGGAGGGGAGGAGGAACGGCCAAACGTCGTCATGGCGCGATCTGACCGGAAGTGGGAGCTGGTACCTGTAAATACCAGGTACCTGTCCCACCCCCCCCCAAAAAAAAATGCCAAATGTAGCAGTGGAAGGAGGGAGGATGAAAACAAGCTGAACTTCCCCTTTTTGGGGAATAAGGAGTTTTTTATTTTGGGAGGTCAGTAACTCAGAAGCTGACTTAATTAGGAAAAATTGCACATGAATTGTCAGGAATGGACTTGCCAGTAATGGTGGGACTCGCCTGCCTTGTGGGCTGCAGTACCAGGGCTGGCCAGCGGGTGCTTCCAGCAATCAGATACTCAACCCTGCAGCCAGCCAAACACCTGAAGTTGATTATACAGGTGTATTTAAGGGATGGCCAGACCTGCAGTCTCTGCCTTGGTGTGTGTTTTTTCCTGGGCCCTGTATCCTGTCCCTGGCCCTGTCCCTGTCTGAGTCGTTGCTGACCCTGCCTGATCCGGACCTCTGCTGACTTCTCCTGTTTCATCCCTGGCTTGTGACCCCGACCATTCTCTGCCTGACCCCCTGTACCTACCTGCCCGATTGTTATTGACCCGGCCTGCCTGACGACGCTTGCATTGTATGTATTGTTATCTGTGGGTGGTTTGGTTCGTTTGCACTGTGTTATGTTTTAGTATTGCACTGTGTTTATGTTTGTATTGTTAGTCTTTAATAAATTATATTGTTTATAACTTATCTGAAGCCTGCGTTTCCCTGCGTCAGTCACATACCTCTGGTCACACCCCGGAGCCCTGACATTACACCAAGGCCAATCCTGACCAGAAGTGGCTGCACAGGGAAGCCATCTTGGCTTGTTGCTGGGAAGGATGGATCTTGATGAGGTTGTGTATTTATCTCTGCTAGTGTTTGATGACAGAGAGTATGCTTATCAAACTCTGAAGGAGTATCCCAGGGATGAACTGCTAGAGTGTATATGGATCGCTCATGTTCTAGTAGATCAGGGCACAGAGTTCTCTGAGGTGCAGCCATTGATTCAGGTTTGTGCTGAGTTGGTTTCATCTGGTACCCCCGAATGCAGGGATGAATTTTTGCCGCCATTTAGTGCCGACCAGGTAGAGTCCCTGGTATGGTTATTAGAGGATGATGTGGATTACTTTCTGGAGCGTTATTCTGCATGTTCACCACAGGTACTAAGAGATTGTATAAACGCAGTGCAGTCATTGACCAGACAGGCTTTGTGTAAACTGAGCTTTGTTCAACCCATACTGCAGACATGGTCAGACTTGTTGCACCCCAGCCTCAGTCAGCTTACAACATCATTCCTCCACTCAAGGCACTCTTCCTGTATCCCCGACAGCACCCCCAGTGACTGCCCAGTATACTCTAACTACCACATTCCAGTCCTCTGCTCCCACTCGCTGCACCTATCCTTTCTTTAACCCTGTAAAGAAGTCCTCTGTAGCAACTGCTCCCTCCTCTGTTCCATCTTCCAGCTCTTCTCTGTCCTCAGCTGCTCCATTCGTTTGCAGACCTGCGTTTACTTGCAGTGCCCCAGTAGTTAAAACCAGAAAAAAGCGGAAATTCTTTCCAACCAGTACCATCCTGCCAGTATCCAAACCGGTGAGCCTGCCGTCTGAGAACCTGTCTTCCGTGGTTCAGCCTGGTGCCTCGGCACCCGCACTTCAGCCTGATGCCTGTACCCAGCCTGATGCCTGTACCCAGCCTGATGATCCTATCACGCCTGATGACCCAGTGCCCGCTATTGAGCCAGACAATCCGGTACCTGATGACCCAGTGCCCACAGTCATGCCTGGTGACCCAATGCCCGCTGTCGAGCCAGACGATCCAATGCCTGATGACCCAGTGCCCACGGTCATACCTGGTGACCCGATGCCCGCTGTCGAGCCAGACGATTCAATGCCTGATGAACCAGTGCCCGCTGTCATGCCTGGTGACCCGATGCCCGCTGTCGAGCCAGACGATCCAGCACCAGATGACCCGGTGCCCGCTGTCGTGCCAATTGACTTGGAGCCCACTGTTGTGCCTGGTGACTCGGTGCCCACTGCCTTGCCAGATGACGCGGTGCCCTCTGTCGAGCCAAATGACCTGATGCCTGGTGACCCGGTGCCCGCTGTCGGGCCAGACGATCCAATGTCTGACCCAGTGCCCGCGGTCATGCCAGTTGACTTGGAGCCTACTGTCGTGCCTGGTGACTCGGTGCCCACTGCCTTGCCAGATGACGCGGTGCCCGCTGGCGAGCCAAATGACCTGATGCCTGGTGACCCAGTGCCCGCTGTCATACCTGGTGACCCGATGCCGGCTGTCGAGCCAGACAATCCCATTCCTGATGACATCCGGGCGGGTGGAACATTTTGCCCAGCTAGGACTGTTTGGAGCGTCCTGAGGCCGCTCCTTGAGGGGGGGGGTACTGTCAGGAATGGACTTGCCAGTAATGGTGGGACTCACCTGCCTTGTGGCTGCAGTACCAGGGCTGGCCAGCGGGTGCTTCCAGCAATCAGAGACTCAACCCTGCAGCCAGCCAAACACCTGAAGTTGATTATACAGGTGTATTTAAGGGATGGCCAGACCTGCAGTCTCTGCCTTGGTGTGTGTTTTTTCCTGGGCCCTGTATCTTGTTCCTGTTCCTGGTCCTGTCCCTGTCTCTGTCTGATTCGTTGCTGACCCTGCCTGATCTGGACCTCTGCTGACTTCTCCTGTTTCATCCCTGGCTTGTGACCCCCGACCATTCTCTGCCTGACCCCCTGTACCTACCTGCCCGATTGTTATTGACCCGGCCTGCCTGACGACGCTTGCATTGTATGTATTGTTATCTGTGGGTGGTTTGGTTCGTTTGCACTGTGTTATGTTTTAGTATTGCACTGCGTTTATGTTTGTATTGTTAGTCTTTAATAAATTATATTGTTTATAACTTATCTGAAGCCTGCGTTTCCCTGCGTCAGTCACATACCTCTGGTCACACCCGGAGCCCTGACATGAATCAAAACCAGGTGAACTTTAAGTGCTTTCATTTTTAATACCATTTATTTTGCTGTTGCTCACTATCTATTTTGTAATATTTTCTGTAAATATTTTTTCCGGAACCCTTTTGTTTTTTCCTTTTATTATTGTCAAGGTCCTACCTTTTCCCTGAGGTTATGTTACCCATGTGCTGGCGTCCATCTTGGATTCTACTGTGCATGGTGGGAATCCTTTTATGCCTTCAGGTCTCTGTGGTCCATCCCCCAGAGGGGTGTGGTTGATGACATATAAGCCTGTGGCCCGCACATGCTCTTTGCACTTGTGTCTTGTGTCTTTGTGTTGCTATTACTCTGTTCTGACTCTCGTGACTCTCCTGGTATCTGATTCGGCTTGTACTTGACTATTCTTTGTATTCTCCTTTGATCTGACCCTCTGTTGCTGAACCCGGCTCGTGACCTGTGATTCTCGTCTGCTGTCCTGTACTGTTTTGTCCTGTTGTTGTTGTTGACCTGGCTTGTCTGACTACTCTTTTGTCTCTTCCACCAGCTACACGCCATTGGCGGCGGCCATTACCGCAGCTGAGGTGTCTCGGGGGCCGCGACCTGGTTCCTGGCTGCGTCAAGTCCATCCCCACCATCAGGGGCCCTGGTGAAGGGCAGCCTGGGACTTAGACTTCCGCGCCCTGAAGGACTTCGGGTCTGTGGGTGGTGGTTGTCGTCAGCCAGTGCGTTACATTGTTAGGCCTGCCTGTCCGTTCCTCGTCCCCTGCTGCCCTGACAATTATGCTGATTTTTAAATGCTCTAAACAAGAAATCAAAGAATCCTTGTCACCTTGAAGATTTACCATATTTTAAACTCTGTTACCTTCCTGTCTGCATGGCAGCAAGTGTTAATATACATTTTCTAAAAAGTCAGAACTGTTTACAGCAGATAAGATGAACTTTGTGTTTTCTCCAAAACACAAGGAGGAAGCTAATGCTGGTGTGTGTAAAGGGTTAATTGCTGAGTTAACCAATTCCAATGACATCCATTCTGTCTGCAACACTTAGATTGCTGTCCACTTGAGCTGGGAAATCTCTGCAGAATGAGGCTGAGAGTGTAGTTTCACATACTGTCGGAAGCATAATCCTGCAAAGTCAAGGGCTGTAAACTCAGTGGAAGTAGCTCTTAGAGTGGGGTCAGCAACCAGTAGATCTGGCCTGGTGACTGATAGATCACAGTCAGGGCTTGCTGACCCACCATCCCAGCAGAACGTTGGGCAGCAGCTAAGGCTGCAGGAGCATCAGCCAGAGAGGAAATCTGAAATATAAATAAACAGCGCAAAAAATAGATTTCTAAATCCACTCATAAAAAATTATTATATAAAAGTGCATGAATTAATAGTGAGTATCCTCAATTATATTAATATAAAACACCAAAGTCCATGTGTAATAAAGATCAAAAATTCTTCAAATATAAAGACAAACTTCCACTTTCCACCTGTGCAGAAACCAACATCAAATGCACTCACCAGAACTTGGTGAGTAAGAAGCCTTTAAGGAATTTTAAAGGGATCCTAAACCCTCTTTAGCATCCACTCTATAGAATTCTTCACCATCCGAATAGGCTTCACCAAGAGAAAGAAATCTCAAATAGTGTAATATTGCCAAATAATAGTAAAATTTTCAAAGCAGAGATTAGGGCCACTCACATGTCAGCAACTTGTAAAAGGCACATTTATTGAATATAATAGACTCCAGATAAAACATGAGTGTTTTAACTGCCTCCTTATTCCAGGAATCTCACATCAGCCACAGGATAAAGCAGAGAATCCACACAGACCAACACAGCTCCCAAAGATGGCCGCTGGAACGCACCGCTCAGCGTGCGCTCCACTCACCGGAAGTGACGTCAGACGTACTGTTGTGGACCTTTTGAATTATGTCTCAAAAACATGACTTTATCAAGACATAACATTATATAATAACATCAAGTCAGCATAGCCGGATGTTAAGAGTTAATTTGTCTTGGTTGGAAAGTCGAATGACCATCTGGCTGGAGAGATGTAGACGGTGGGTGAAGAGATTTTTTTTTTCTTTTCTCCTAGAGACAATACATATTTTGAAGTTCTACACAGGTGATCAAACACCATTATTCAGACTTCAATAAGCAGGTAAATATATACAAGGTCTGGACATGACAATAGAGGAACCAAACCTGATTGTCTGAGAGCTTACCGTGGCAAACCTTGTAGAGTGTGATAAAACCAAACAGACCTCTGAAACTATCACAATATAGTACTATTGTCCACCGAGAGGGTGAAAGCATTAACAGTTTGTTTACCGTGATTCATCCAATACAAGAGCCAGGCAAACAGAGAGTTTTTCCCTACACATAGAAAATGTTGGTTCTAAAACAAAGAAGTGAATTCAGGACATTTAAATCTAAAATTGACTGTATATAATTACAAAGATATACTACAAAAACATATTATAAATAAGATGTTATAGATTTTACACACCACTAAATATTCAGCAATGGGAACAATAATATCACTAACTTGAGTATTGAGATGATGGAAAGTAAGATGTATTATAAACTAGCAATAGTTACATGTCTTATCAGGAAACAAACAGGATGGTATTACCAGAAGGAATAACGAATAATACACCTATTTCTACCATGGTCCCTAGTGAGAATATTAAAGGTATGATCAACTTATATCTGGAAAAAGACGTATATATGGATCCCTGGAAATTACTTTAAGATTCCACCCGAAGGTATGATGTCAATCTCAGAATATTTTAATACTCAAATTGTTCTATTGATACATGATCCGCCACCTGGCGGGCCAAGTGAGAAATAGCTTATGTACCACACATTTTCACAAACTAGCCCAATCAAGAAAGCCTGGTGGGACGGTTCTTAGAACAATGGATTAGTGGATATAAAAGCCTTTTTGTAGCCTTTAAGAAAAAAAAACAACGTCAATCAAGAAAAACCTCATCAAGAAAAGCTCAAAAAGAAAAACTCAACAAAAGAAAAAGACCTCATCAAAAGAAGACCCTGTCATCTGAAGAAGATCTCTGCTGAAAAACTACTCTACCATCCTTTCAAACTTCCTAAATACCCCCCCCTAAATTTCTAAAACTCTCTATCCTTAAATCACATCTACATTCTCCCATAATGAATCTATCACTTGCCTTATAAATTCATTTTCAAAAGGCGTTCCACTGGCCAGCTAAATCCACGGAGAGTTGCCTAGTCTGAATGGCCGGGCGCGGTAGATTGTTTATTTGTTTTTGTATTTCCCATTTTCCTGTTGGTTGGAATCATGAATTACCCTTTGTGTATCCAACAAATTTA